GGGCGATGTTGTAGGATGACATTTTTTCTGAAGTTGGGAGAATTGTAACCCTCAAAATCTGGCTCCAGGATCGTCCAGGCCGATCTGGATCATCCGGACGATTAGTTGTAAATTCTGCTCCATATTACTTGCCACAGAAAGTTAACAGGAAATGTGAATTTCTCTGTAGGTATACGCTCCGGGGACCGATGTGTATACGTCTACGGGAACGATCAGTGAATTACAAAACGTCAGAGAGCAAATCGTCCTGGAAATTAATTATCAGTCCATGAGCATCGTACCAGGCGATTCGTTTTGTTCATGATCTGTCACGACGATGTCGAATGGTTCTAGATCCGGCGCCGATAAGTGTGATTTTAAGGTGAAATAGCGCTCATTTTAAAGAGAGAGAATAAAATATAAGTATTGAAATATGTTGAGGAGAGAGAAGGTCGAGGAAGATTTTGGAAACTGAATTTTCAGGTGCGATGCCCGCGCCATTTTCGTTCGACAAGCAATTGTTCAAAAAAAGTGTTGTACGCAAGGTAAGGACATTCCGCCTATTCCTCAATTTTCAGAACGGTGCAATTTGGAACGTAGTTTCTGTCGGTTTTTGTTTTTAGTTAGCGAATTTTCGATCGTATTTTCCGATTGGTTCAGTTTTTGACCGCGTAATTTTGGTATGTTATCTGAGGTGCCGAGTATGCAATATTTATGATTATTTTCTGAGAATTTTGACCAGGTATTTTTGATTCCGCGGTTTACTTTGACTGCAATTTTTCATTATGATGTCTAAAATGTTGTGGGCCAGTAGAGATAAAAAGTCTTGCAATGTGTTGTGAAGCTTCGTGATAAATTGGTAATTTTATGATTTTTTAGGAAATTTTGTGTAAATTCCTGTATACTGCCGTTACGCTGGTCGGATTTTCGTTGAATTCTGAAATTGGTCCGGATTGTTCTGAGAATGAATTGATATGATTTGTTGTGCTATAATAAGGGGAGTTATAAGGGGTCAGGATCCTATGAGATCCTGTCTGTGTCAGAGAAAAACCTGACCATGAGCTCTGAATATCTGTTTATGATAAGTTGCGGATCCGTGATAAAATTCCTGATTCTGGTGCTATAGCAATTGTTTTGGTGCGTGAGCAAAAAGGGAGTGCATAATGGGGCCAGAGGCCAGAATCCAAGAGATTATGTCAGTGTCTGGGAAGGGAGACATAAGGGGCCAGAATCCGTTGAGATTCTGTCAGTGTCAGGGAATCTATTCTACCTTTTGATCTGCCGTTTGATCTGTTCTGAATTGTTATGATTTTCGCTTTCCGTATGATATAATTCGATCTGATCTGTATGATTATGATTCTGATACGTTTCTGTTCCGTTCTGATCTGTTCTGAAACTGATTTCCGTACGATTCTGTCTATTCTGATATGAATGCTAAGCTGATATGATTTAATCTGATTTCTGAATTTCTTTGTATGTTCTGTCAGTTCTGATGTGATGTATTTCAGTTCTATTCTGATTTGATCTGATCCGTACGATTCTGATTTGATCTGATCCGTACGATTCTGATTCTGTTCTGATTTGATATATGATTCTGTTCCGATTTCTGTACGGATTTCTGTCTGATTGTGTTGATGTTGACTCTGAGGATTTTGATTGGAGGTTTGATGTCTTGCTGAGCTGTTGTAGCTCATCCTTGTTTTCTGCGTGGTTTCAGGTTCTGGGAAAGGGAAGGAAGTCCAGGAGTAGAAGTTCAGAGTCTGATTTGTTATAGGTATTTTGCTCTTTTGATTTTTGTACAGTCATGGCTTTTCTGTTCTGTCTTTCTTTCTGTCTAAAATCCATGAGCTGTATTTGTATATGATTCTTTTGAGGAAGAAGATAGATGATATGTTCCGCTGTGATTTGATGTTTATAGTAGCTCTGTGTGTGTGTCTGTTTATGTGTGTATGTTTGGAATAAAGTTCTGAAACAAATTCCAAAGCCAGATCCTGGAATCAGTTCAGTCAATTTCGTTCAGTCTGGCCGCCGCGACCCGATGCGAGCGGGATCCGTCCTGGTCGGGTTGGGTCGTGACACATGGCAGGAGCACGGTGTGATGCATGGCGTATAAGATGGCTCTGAGGCACTATAGGACATGTGGCAGCACATGCAGGAGACGTGCGGCGTACGATCAAGGCTAACTTAAGTGAGTAAGTGGCTTGATCAAGCTGTTGATTCAAAATGAAGAACAATGGTGAATGATCGTTGGCTATAATTGATCCACATTACATGTTAAATGATCAGCGCAATGCACATTCTCCAGCTGAATGCAAAATTCCATCCGGCATAATCTAGGTCGTCCAATCGCAATACATGCGCGATCTTGTGATTCAGATCGTGCAAAAATTCTTAGTTCAAAATGAATTAAAATTTCAAATAGTTATATCTTTTAAAATACTTGTCTAAATTCTATGAAACTTGAAGTACAGGCTCATGACACACTAATCTTCCAATGCGTGGAGTTTTGAGTCCCTATGTATTGTAGGTTTTGAGTGGTTTCAAATTAAAGTTTAACCTAAAAGATGAGATGTCTCAACAGCCAATGGATGGATTTTAACAATCTTGGGATTCTTTTTCTCCTGGTGATGTCCTCTCCAACTTTGCAGAAGAATCCATGTGTAGATGAAGGATGGATTGAGAGTTGTTAAGGAAACCCCACTTTCTCTCACTTGGACCCTCTCTCTCTCTTCACCAAAATGGTGTTTTGAGGCTTTGGTTTGGTGGAGAAAAGCTTGGGAAAGCTTGGTAAAGTGCTAGAGGAGCTGAAGAAAGAGTTTGGAGAGCTGGAGGCTATTGGAGAAGAGAGTTTGAATTAAATGTCAAGGATTGAGGAATTAGGTCAAGTTTCCCCTAATTAACCCTCACCTTTTGGATTTAATGTCTTGGATTTATTTTGGATATGCTTGGATTCATGCCAACTATCCCTAAAGCTATTAAAAGCCAAGGGAGAGGGCAAGAATTGAGAGAGACTTTTCTTGTTCCATGTAAACACGAACCACACCCCTTTTTCCTCATTTGGATAAAGTAAAGCAAAGCTAGGTTTAAGAAGGTGGGTTAAGCCATCTTAAGAAAGGAAACAAGTTACTTTTAAGCAGGTTAGAGCATCATTTGAATGGGGGAAAGGATTGCCAAGGTGGCATGGTGATGTGGCCATGATTTGACCCCATCCCATGAATTTGAAAGGGCTTGTTGACTTATTGGCCTATTGACCAGTCAATGGTGACTGGGATAGGCCTTGAGGAGGTAAAGCATGCGGTAGGAAACCACCTCAAGGAGCTAAGAGTCAAGGGATTAAAGTTTGCATGGGTGTTTAGGATATGTGAGGGGTATGACCATGCATGGAAATTTGACAAGTCAAATCCAAGGGAATTTGACTCAGAAAAATTTTGGACATTTTTTAAGTGTCAAATTGAATTATTTGAGGTAGGGGTGTGAGTAAGCCGAGCTGGCTTGCGAGCGAACTCGAGCTCGACTCATTTATGTACTAGTGAGCCAAGCTTATCGAGCTCATGAGTCGAGCTCAAGCTCTAGTTCAAGCTCATTTAATAAACAAGCTCGAGTTTGAGCTTGAGCCGACTCTACTCGTGAGCTCGTGAACCAGCTTGATTAAATATTAATATATTTTTAAAATAATTTTTTATTTATTAAATTTAAATATTAAAAAATTAATAAAAATCACCTAAGTTTTATTTAAATGTTAAACATGTCATTTTTTTTTCTAAATTTTGACTAATTTTTAAAAATACCGCTTAAGTTTTAAAAATCTTGCCTAATTTTTAAAAATTACACCTAAATTTAAAAATTCTCGCCCATGGCTTGCGAGTTGACTCGCGAGCTAGCTCGAGCTCATTTATAGTTTGAGCTCTCCTATTGAGCTCAACTCGAGCTCGAGCTCGCCTTCTAATTAACAAGCTGAGCTCGATAAGGTCCTAAACTCAACTCGACTCGACTTGTTTCGTTTGCACCCCTAATTTGAGGTGGCCAATTTGGCTTGGAATATTGATTTTGACATTGGTGTAGGTTAAGGGTTGATCTATTCAATCATAGATGACTTGGTCAACCAAGTCAACCCATGGGTTGAGTTTGCATCCAACAAATTCAAATGAGTAATTTGAAACTAATGGAGGTGGTCTCATGTAATGGAATAGCCATTTGAGTTGAAATGGCCATTTGGATCCTTAAGGGGCAATTTGGTCAACATGAGTTGACTTGGTCAACCATGCATGACCAAAGCTTGAATTTGAGTCTAATGCATTCTTAGAGGTGTTTAGGATGTATTGGAGAAGTTTTTATGGCTTGATGTGGATTGGCCATATTGAAGTTTGGAGAAAATTTTAATTTTTTTCTTAAAGGGCATTTTGGTCATTTAGATACCTTGTCAATTATGGGTCAACTTGCACCAAAGTGCAATTTTGTGTTAAACATGTCATAATAAGGGTTATGGATATGGTCAAGGGTTTTGAGGTATCAAGGTCAAATTCTATAAGGCGGAAGATCTAGTGGCATAGGCTATAAATATTTGAAGGTTTTACCGCCTTTGAATTTCAATCATGTTTTTTGGCGTTAGATGTCTTAGATTGGCCTCGAATTTGGAGGATTGACCATAAAAAATGTTTAATTAATATGCAATTGATAGATCATGAATTAGAGATCATTTGGCTTGGTTTTGAAGTGATTTAAAAATCAGTCAAAAATGGTTATAAGAAATGGGTCTTTAACCTTGAATTTTTGGTCTGAAATTTTGGATTTGAATGTAGTTTTGGATTCGATTGATAAAATTTGAATTATCCACATCAATGATAATTAATTGAGTGATTGTTGATTATTGGATAAAGGGATTCAAGTGGTGATCACTAGGTGCTTTTGCACTAAGCAGGGCAGTGTACTGAGTTACATGTCTATAGTGCTGGGCTGCAGCTTCAAGTGATCTTATTCTGATATCAATTGGATGATTGAAGTTGATTGATGTTTGATTGAAAACTGAATGACTGTAGATAAGTGCAGACTGATGTTTGAAGTGTAGATTGAATTCTAGATGATTGACAGGTAGGTGATTGTCAACCATCAAATTAATATACATGAGTCAAGATAGATCCTGATGACCTCATACAAAAATGACGTAAATAGAGGTTTAGAAATCAGTATACCTTAGAGATAGGAGGTTGAATACGATGTTGTTGTGACTAATATGATGGTGCATTAAGATCGAGGCACACAAAAATTTCTCTTTTTCTTTTTCTCTTTTTTTTTTAACTCTTCTCAACACTCTTTTTTTACTTTTCTTCTTTCTCTTTTTTTAGACAACAATAACAATAATAAAATCTAATAATAATAATAATTACCAATACTAATTAATAATAACTATAGGTAAAAAAATAGAAATAAAAAAAAGAAAGCAAACTTGTTGTTTGGATTTTGTGAGGTGGAGTTAAGGAAATGGGACAAGATGGTTGTTGCACTATTTTGAGTGTGATAATACACGCTGCTTGAAGTGGAGGAAACGGGAAGTGTTGGGTTGTTTAGTGGGCTTTTGTGGAAAATGTTGTCAGTGATTGGGGAGATGATTGGATGGAAGTAAGTGAGCTTCTTGAATGAGCTACAGAAGGTGGAAAACGGGAGGCTGATGCGGATGTGAGCAGCTTAATAGAAGGCTTCATGTGGAGGAGGAAAAGTTGAGTGGATAATAGTGTGGATTTAGCTCTGTAACAGAATTGTAAAGTCTTGAACGAAGCAGATATGGGAGTTCGGGTAAGGTAAGCTGGGGTTGATTCGACGTGATCTTGGATGTGGGTGGCTTGCTATGGGAGATCAAATGGAAGGGACATGTCTATTGTATATGGAGCTCAAACAAGGTAAGGGGATCTTGAGGAATATTAGCTTTGGTGTGAGGTTAGCATGTGGATCGGTTGGGGTTGGCTAAGCAGGGAAGTTGAGATCGGACACTTGCAGTTTCATAATTGAATGTCTTGACCTGAGATGTTGAGATCAGCAGGTAGATCGGGAAGGAAGGAAGAGCCAGTGCGGCTTGGTTAGAGGCTTAAGGAAGAAAGGGGAGATCAGTAAGGTCCGATCTCAAGCTTGGAGATGGGTAGGGTGATCTTGAGGGAGATCTGTGTGCGGACAAGTCTGGATCGATGGGTGACTTCAGAGGAAGCCAAGGAAGTGGAGGCTGTATTTAGGCTGTGTTTGCGGCTTTATTTGGAGATAAGCATCAGTGTCATGGATTTTGCTCAAATAGTAGCAAGATCGGTTAGTTGTGTGGGTAGAGACGGATAGATTGAGCTGCTGGTTGAAATGGGGGGAGTTTGATTTGGAGGGATTTCACGGAGCTTGTAGGATTTTTGGCTTGTAGAGGGATTTTGAGCGTGAGGAAGCCGACTGTGTAAAAGGAAAAATTATTAGGTGCGGATATCAGACATAGAGATATGTATGGACTCCAATAAAATGTTGACATATGGAATGTTTATGTGGATATTTAATTGGATTTATTTTTTACTTTATATATTTAATGTGTTCGTAGAACTTTAAGCCAAGCATAGTCATAGAACTTTAAGCCAAGCATAGTCATAGCCTAGATAAAGTGCAGGTAAAACACAGTCAAAGCTTAGTAAAAAATTGCAACTAAAACGCAGATAAAACAAAGGTATAGGGTACAAAAAAATGCAATAAAAACACACTCCACATGTCACATTTTAAGTGGATGTCCGGACGTATCTCTATGTCAAGACTCCGCACCTAATAATTTTTCGTGTTAAAGATAACAAAATGAAAATTGAACATTTTAACGGCGAGGAAGAACTTCGCTCAAGGAGGCAAGAGCAACGATCAAGGCTTCAATAGGATTTTGGGGATTTGAGCAAAGCCAGCGCAGGCGAGGCGGATACGAGGTAAATTTGAATGTGATATTATTTTGATTTTAATATTATTATTATTATTATTATTATTATTATTATTATTATTTATAATTTTTATTTTAAAATAATAGAAAAATGAGAGAAGACCTCATTTTAGCCTCCATTCAAAGGCCATCGCCTCATGATTTGTGTTGATTTTCCTGGATGAATTTCATTACGCAAAATTATTATCATTTATGTGCATTGTTAACATTCTGAATGCAACAATGAAGTCCGTTTTACAATCGAACATCATTTGGGCAACAACACATTTCAATTTCGGGTGTCAATTGCCGTTTTACAATGAACACTAGGAAAGATATCTCATTTCAAAAAATAAGAAAAAAAGTTCAAAATAATCCCCTGGTTATTTGCAAATGCCCAATTTAATTCCAAAATTTAGTACCAATCCAATATAATCCTTCGATTATTAAAAATTATTATAAGTAGTGCAAATGCATATTTAATTATATTGCTTATATTAATCTATTTTATCATTTAATAAATCATAAAAAATAAATAAATCAATATAAAAATCCACTTGCTAAAATTATCATCTTTTAAGTGAAATCTAAATAAAGGATCATGCAAAACTCTAAATTTCTTATTACAAAAACATAGTCATTGATTACAAAATTCTAAATTCCTTTTTATTGGAAAAATGGTATCATTTGTTACAAAATTTCAAAAACCCTAATAAAAAAAAATCCACTAATAAAAACAAGATTTAAATATTTGTACTTAAATGACCCTTCCACTATATGAAAAGAGAGTTATAAAGAATACTCCGTTAAATATGATAAAAAAAATTAATTAAGGGACAAAATTATATCAATTTTTAATAATTAAGTTACTAAATTAAGACAATGCAAAACTCTAGTACTAAATTAGACACTGAATAATAACCGGGGGATCTAACATTATTACTGGCTAATCCGTCAGGCATCATGAAAATCAATTGCTGGAAACCATGAACGATAGCTTTTATCTATCTGGATAGTTAGAGACAGCAAAACTTAAGCAAGATACACAAACAAGCTATAAGAATAAAAGGCCGTACGCCTTGCAAAAGCAGCTCAGCACTAAAATGAACCAAAAAAACAGATACAGGTTAAGCATTGCTTCCAGTTAACTCTTCTAAGAAAATCCAGAGTCCAACAAGAAAAAGCAGAAGCAGAAATAAAAGTTTGCATATATGTTATGTACATAACAAAAAATGAAACACAGTTCATGCTAATGCTCAATAGAAGTAGCAGAGAAAATATGGACTATATGCGTGCGGATCGGCGAGTTCTTACGCCAATAGTGGAAGCAGGGAATGACTGGGATGATTCTGCATCTGAAGGTTCCAAGGTTTCATTTTTGCAGCTCCTCAATCTCTTCCTCAGAACAGGACCAGGAGGGATTTGGCTTTGAGCTTCATCAGCTGAAACCAATTCTGCTTTCAAGTTTCTTGTCCTCTTTCTGGTTGGAATGGGAATGTTTAAGGCCTCATTAATCTGGGGTGGTGCCTCTATCACCTTTTCTTCCACTTCATCAATGCCATCAGAAGGGTGCCATTCAGTACCACAGCCAGGACAAACTCTTGCAACCTGCTACACACTTGCATGTCAGCAATGATGGAAACGCATCACTTCATTAGTTCAAAAGAAACTATGAAAAAACGAAAATTTTGGGTTGAAATATCCTGGATTTATTATTCTATGCAGAGTCCGGAGGATGTCCGGAGTCCAATAAAAATGCGCCACATCATCCCATTGCTGGGTACCCGCGCTCGGTACCCCTCGGTATGCTCGGTACCATTCGGTACCGCTGGATAGCCAGCGCTTAACCGGACAGTTCTCCCGTCCAGTGTCCGCACAGAATAATAGCTCCATATCCTGTGATCTCAAGCTCGTTGATTTAAAAGATTAGTGCAATATAAATTCTTCATTTGAGATCCTTTAAGATAAAAAATAGATAAGGATATTTAGACCATTGTTTTTTTTTCAAAATAAATTGAAGGGAAGAGTAGACATCACCTTACGCTTGAAAATTTTCATTCGGCAGTAACTGTGCATGCGGATAGGGCATCCTTCCTTGGGACATTGTTCAGCCTGTTGACTCATCAAGTGAGGTGAAAAAAAAAAGTCAGAAAGAAATAAACAGTTTCTGGAATGAGAAAGATACGGATTCCAGTAGGAATATCACTGCTGTAGATACTAGAGATTAATCTTTTCAAAAGAAAATTATTCATATTATTATGAAAATAAATAGATTTTAATGGATGAAACCCCCTAGATATGTTAATGTATAATACATCTCTATAATCTTTACAAGTATCAGTACAACACCAGACTATACATTATTATCAACGCCATTCATTCAGATAAATTAACTGGGAGCTTATGGACCAAAAGACCACACCACAATTGTTGAACCAGAGGGTGGCTGAGGAGCGTTCACCAATCACAATCCTTAGAGTTTGAATAAATCCATTAATATTTTATATTATAATAAAAATTTTGCCAACCACACTTAAATATATAATTATAATTTAATATATATGATATGTTAAAACTAATTATTAATCCGATTTTTTCTTGATATTATTCTATTTATCATATTCATTAATAGTTAAATATATTTTATATTTTGAATTATTAATGATAATTATTTAAGAAATTATTAAATTAAAAAAGATCTTGATATCATTCCGCATCCAAATTTATGATATTCTCCTCCCCAATCTGTTGCAGTCTTGGATTCTGAACTTGTGATTTTGATGATAACAAATATTATTAATTGCCTTTTGATTTCTCATAATATTTGTATTGTATATTCGTTTTTGTATGTACTAAGATTTCAAGTACGTCATACACCATGCAAGAAGTTTTAGACTTAAGATTAGACAAAATAGGAGAATATTTTACAAGAGTGTATTTTTACATTCATTTAATTTTACATTTCTTAAGTCAAAGTCTTGTAAAAAGTGTATGCTAACTTGGAGAACGTGCACACACAGAGGAGTGAGAAAATTAAAGATGAATTTTTTTTAACTGATTATATCATATGATCCAGATCGTACAATACAATTAAGTATCCAGGAAAAAGTATAAAATGACTAATTATATAATTAATATTTTTAAACTAATCATACTATACAAACTATATCATACTGGAAGATCAGTCTAATTTGAAAATGCTAGCCGCCAATCAAATTTAGGTGAGCATTTAAAATTTTAAATTTTGAACTGATTGTACCGTACGATCATTATCATAATGTATGATATTTGAAAACTTAAATTAATCCAAATGATTAGTTAATCAAATCAAGATTTAATTAATATTACAAATCATACAATACGATGTCAATCATACTGAATCATACTGAATGATTGAGAGAGATGATTTTCAATCATCCCGGCAATCATCCTGGACGAAACGATGATTTTTTTAGTTAATCATACAGTACGATATCAATCGTACTGAACTGTGGGATCTGAAATTTCGCACCCCGACCTTTTCGCACCAGCTCTTTCTTGTTTGTTTATGTATGTGGGCAAGTAGAGTTTTAACGCATTTAGGTTTTGGGTTAAATTTTCAGAAGGTAGATTGGGTTTTAAATAAGACACCACCCAGAGATTTTTCCCTCATTTTGTGAGGACTTTTCAATCTAAGTTCTGGTTTCCTATAGGCGTAAGCATCTATATTTAATTACCCCTCCCGATAAAGAGAGAGAACTTTTGATTAAGGCTGGTCGAAAGATAGATCACATGGGTTACAAAGACAGTGTATAATAGCAATAATTTAGTGTTTGAATTTGAATTTGAATTTTGAAGTTTATCATTATATACTTAAAACAGGTGATGGGGGAAATGAAGACGAGCCTGATCAAGATCCCATTGTTTCGTCCTCCAGGGCTATCATGGTCTTGGTCTACTTAGTTAAAGGAGGTAGTCAACCAAACATGACAGAAGACACCATATTTGAATCCATGAGTTGCTTCGTCCAATGATATATTTTACACTTGAGGTAGTATTTGTTTAAAGGGATAGATTTGAATCCACCTTAGCTGACAGAGGGCTTTATGACTATCGAATATACTCTATGATTCATTACTCAAGGGTTTGATGTTGCTACGGAATATACGGGCTTTGGTCGTTATCATAATATAATTGTGCAATTTTGCGGCAAAATCACCCGATTAGAGGGCACGTGTCATGTCCCTACTGACAAGAGGCTATTTGAGGATGAATCATAGTGATACACCTGATATGACATTAGTTCTTTGTGAGCTGAGATTAATTTCAAATTTACCACCCCCGAAAAATAATTGTGGAAGGGGGATAGGTTTTAGTTTTAAGTTTTTGTGATTATATTTTTAAGTTTTTATAGGCTCTTGAGAATTGATCCCTCCAATTGAAATTTACTATCAACACGGCCATCATCGGGGTAACGTCAAAGTCACTTGTATTTTCATAGGAATTTTGGAGGTATTTTAAAAGTCTAGGGTTTCCTCTAATTGAGATTTTCTGTCAAAATGGCTATCATTAGGATTTATGTTAAAGTTATTTGAAGAATATTTATATTTTGTTATTTGATCCTGCAGTTGTATCATTAGGATTTATGTCAAAATGGCTATCAATGCATTTTATATCAATCACTTTGATTAGTAGTTCGGTGCATTAGTTACCTGCACATGATGCATAGTGGCACCCGGAAGGCTCAAACCACCATTGCTTGAACAATTTCAAATTTCTAATTTTGTTGTTGAAGTTCATTCATTAAGAAAATCTCACACTCATTCATTGTAGATCTTTGTCGTCTGAACATATATTTCATACTTGATGTCCTCTATAATGTAAGATATTTGAAGAGACTATTAATAGTCTTGCTGTTAATTCCAACATCTTTAGCATATCTAATTTTTGGTCCTCACATAGAATATATTTTGCTAGAATTGTCATTTTCAATGTAACTATAGTTCTATAAATTCCCTAACCAGGAGCCAGTGATAGCTGCAGATGTTGGAAAAGTTCGTATTAATTTTTTATATTATTTTGTTGTTGTTAACCTGCCTATGGTTCTCTTCCACCCAACTTAGCAAAATCTGAAATAATCCTTAATTGAACATTATAATTGTTAGATGCAATTTCCCTGAATCTCATGGAAATATTGAAAAGTTTAACAGTTTCAGTGGCATATCAACATCAAGCTCTACTCAGGACAACATAGACCAAAAGAAAACTATTACGTAAGCTTGAATGCTCCTGATGACTTGAGCACCTTAAAGTAACTCTAAAATGTTAAATTGGACAATATTTGTGAAAGAGAATAACAAGAATATAGAATCTGAACTTGTTTTCTTCATGTCCTTGTGTGTTATGTAGCATATGACTCTACTAGTCTTAATGTAGGTAAATAATACATATAACGTGAAACCCCATTATACATTTTGACCATGAAATGGAAATCGTCACATAGGTGTTATTTTTTATTAAATGTTTCATATTAATATTAATATTAATATTATTCAAAATAACAATTTGATTGTGTTAGAGTCCTTTATCATTTAGTTTTAATTTCGGCAACCTTCTGGCAACCCTTCCCCTCGACGAGAGATTGGGAGGCACTTGCTTTTGGTTCTACCCACCCGGATCTAAGATATAATGGCGTGGATTCAACAAATTGGCAGTCATCCCGCCAGGATCTAAGATACAACTGTGCGGGACCTTCAATTTAAAAGATCTTCCAGCCCAAATCAAATATCAATGGCGCAGGGGCTTTAATTTGTGCATTCCTGGCCGAATCTAAGATCGATGGCACAGGTCTTCGACGCATGTTTAAAATCCATTTTCTCTCTTTCTTTTTTTTATTTTAATTACATATAAATAGAGAGAAAGAGGGAGAAGGCATCGGACTCAGGTACGGAGGCGGGAGTCAAGCCAATGGCGAAGAGACAGTGTAGGAGGGAGATCGATGGCTGGGTTTGTGGTCGGAGTGTGGCGTCAGGCTTGCAGGAGTCATATTAGAGGAGCCTATGGCGGGTCGAGGCGGTCAAACCTGGTCGTGTCGAGTCGGAGGCCAGATCAGACGTGCAGCTTCGAATCGGGCTGGATAGGGAGGTTAGTGTCGGAGACGGAATTCGAGTTAGGTGTAATTTATTCTTCCTTCTTGTGTGCGTGAGACAAACAGGAGCGAGAGGGAGGTGTGGACAAGCAAAATGAGGGTTTCGACTTTGTCTGTGTGAGTTCGGATGAGGATGAGTTCTATCTGGTTTTGAGAAGGGAAAATAGCTGTTGGAGGGAGTTACATGAGGAGATCATGGGTAATGGAGTCGATTGGGTCGTAGGTTACAGGAAAACAAAAGCTCCCAACAAATATGATTTGCGCCCTAATGTTTGTTGCAAACTAGTTGACCTTGCGGATCTCTAAAATTAGCTTTTTAGATGTCACACTAAAGGCCTTTTAAAAATATCTAAAAGGTATGCTGATAGAGGTTTTTATTTATTTGATGTTTTGTGCTATTTATATGTGCTCATTTGTTTTATCTGACTTGTCATGATTTAAATATATCTTCAACATTAGCCTCCAACCTTAACAGATGTAACGAAGGAGATTGCTTGATTTGTTTTCTCGATTTGTCAGGAACAAAACATACCTTCTGCCCTAGCTTCATGCTATGGCAGGTTTGGCAAAGGAATGTTGCAGGTGACCTAAACACTTTAAGTTTGTATTAGGTCGATGGAAATTGGTCATTGATCCAGAGCTTTATGTGTAGCAAACTTGCTAATGACGAAATCCTCTTAGTTCAGGCTTTATAGAAAATCTATGATATCTTTTTTGTCCATTGTTTTGTGCTTTAACGGACTTGTTCAAGAATTTGCAGGTTTTAGGCTTAACTGGTAGTACCAAATTAAGGTAATACTCTAACCCTTAAGTAGTCAAGAAGACTTTTATATGAGTTACATGAGTTGTTCAGATTGGGTGAGCTGGGATTTGGCAGCTCTTCATCATCAGACTACTGAAATGGGGGTTCCCACATTATGACATTTCTTATGGCTTGTTGAGTAAGAAAAGTTATCAGCGACTCGGCCACATCTTGGTTTGTTGAGTCCAACCTTATACGCTAATTCAGGTTTTAGACTTGAGCTGTGGAGAAATGTGCTCCCCAAGCTAAATTTGCTAAATTTTGCAGATTTGAAGTCATCCTTTGTAGTTCAAGATCTCAGAGTATACATGCATTCAGTAGCTGTCTTGATTGAGGCTCATCCTTCCAACTATAACCTTGACTATATAATCAATTAAAAGAATCACTTGGACTACGACTACTTAAACTTGTTGAGTCAAATAAGCAATCATGCTTCTAACAATCCTCACTGATAGGTTGATGAAATGAAGATTCCTCAACTACGGCCTTTCTTATGGCTTGTTAAGTAGGTGGAGATGCCAACGATGCAGCCATATTTAGGCTTGTTGAATTTGGTCTAATACACCCATTTGAACCTTAACTTTAGGTTATAAAATAACGCGTGCAGCTCTAGCTCAACTTGTTGGAATGCATAACTACAAAAATTTTCTTTCTTGACTTTTGAAATCTCTGTATGTTAGAAAAGACGATGCCCCAAACTTTTTGAAGAATAACCTGCATATTAGTTGAAAGAGAAAATTGGTATATCCCATCACTTGAATGAATACTCATATTTGATGATTTTAATTATTTATTTGGGGATCTCGGCGCATAGCACGATATTGACCCAAAAAAATATTTAAAAATCCCCCCCTATATTGCAGGAGAGGATCATATAAGTTTTGTATTGAAATTTTAAATATTTATATAAGGATGTCGATATGCGGCGCGATATCGACACAAATAAATATTTAAAATGCTTATTCCTATAAAGGAATTTAGACATGTTTACTTACGAAACTAGGAAATACCCCGTCTTGCAGGGGGATTTTCGTGTGATGTTTGAAATGCTTTTTGTACTACAAGAGAATTTCAAAAATATATATTCTTCATGTCAATAGGTATACATGAAGAACATAATATATTAAATACAGAATTTTTCTTGGGTTAACTTCATGCGTGATATTTCTTCAAGCATTGATTGTTGATCGACAACATGGGCCTCTGACCATTTAGATTGATAAGCTCCTCCATGGTATACGTTCTCGATGACGAAAATGCCTCTTCCTAGTTGGATTCGAACATACCACCAATTCTTCAATGCGGGATGATTGGCCTTCTCTGCACGAGAACCAATTCTTCTTCTTAAAATGCTCAGTGGCGCACCATCCGATCAAAGGATTTTGCCATCCTCGCTCGATAAATCTCCAAGTTCTATTGAACCTGCACCCTAATTTCATTCAATACGCCGAGCACTTCAATCTTTAGTCGAACATTTTTCTCCTGAGTAAGCTCATGCTGGACAACTACTCGAAGTGATGATACTGCGATTTCCAGTGGCAACACTACTTTAACGGCGAACACTATTGCGTAGGGAATGGCTTTAGTTGGCGTCTTGTAAGTTGTATGATATGCCCACAACGCTTCTGTCATCTTAGTATATCATTCTCTTATTTTTAGTGAGGATTTTCTTGAACAGTTTTACCAATATTTTATTGAAGGCTTCTGCCAGACCATTCGCTCTTGGATATAATCAATGAATATAGCCAATCGATTTTATGTTGCTCAACAAATCTATAAATATTTGTAGTTTTAAAAGTTAGGCCGTTGTCTGAGATAATGCGGCGTGGCAGACCAAATTTATAGATAACATTATAGGTAAAGAAGTTGATCACATGATTAACAATAATTTCTTTAAATAGAGCCGCTTCAGCCCATTTAGAAAATATTATGGTACTGCTAATATAAAATGATGTCCAACTAACGATGGCGGATCAATCTGCACAATGATATCAGTGCCCCAACATTCAAATAGCCAAGATGCCACCGTAGGGTGCAACGGATTTGGCAGTTGATTTATAATATCACTATGAATTTAACGTTCATGACATTTATCAGCATGATTAGTACAGTCTTTTACCATTTATGGCCAGTGATAACCCATTCTTTTAATTTTAATAGTTATTTTACAACCCGATTGATGTGTACCACATAATCTTTCATGAACTTTAGATATAACTTTATTAGCCTCATTTATCTCTAAATATTGTAGCCACATTTGATCAAAAGCCCTTTGATACAGCGTATTATTGACAAATGTGCGCATATCGCAACGCCCTCTTCCTAATTTGCATGGCTAACCATTTATCAGTTGGGAGCTTGCTTTTTCTGAAGTAGTTGATGAAAGGTTGTCTCCAATCATCTTGTTCTTCAATTTCTAAGCAATGCTATCATGACTCTGAGGCTGTACTAGATTTTCTTTTCCTTATAACTATTTGAGGCTCATATGTTTGATTTTCAAGAACAATTTGTTAGGGAGGTTGGGGATCAACCAAAGTTATATCCTGTTGGCTTGAATTCGATGACACCTCTACCAACGGGGAACGCAGAATTGATGGCTCTAGTACTCGACGAATGTGGACACTGATTAACACAAGCTCGTCATTTATGCTTGTCATTTTTTAGCCAATTTTGCAAAAGAGTATGATTTACTATTGTGAGCTTGAGAGATTTTAATTAATATAATATTTGTAATTTGCTTCAATAGCTTTAGAACTCATCTATGAAAATAAACCAACACGAGTTTACCGATTTTATAAATACTCAGTACTTAATTTATAATGAGTTGAGAATCACAAAAATTCCAAGGTTTTGAATTTTCATTGAAATAATGATTTCGAGACCCACTATTAAGGCTTCATATTCTACTTTATTGTTGGTTATGTGTTCAGTTAAATCAAATGAATATCCTATCAACCCTCAATTAAGTGTTATGAAGATAAGACCGATACCGGACCAAGCCTTGGGGAGGTTCAGAGGTAGGCATGTTCAATTAATGATGCACCATTAAAATAAATTTCTCATATTTATAATTTCTCTTCTTCTAGAACAACTAGAATTTGTTCATCGAGTAGATCGCCATTGAGCGGTGAGTTTGCAGAACGGGATTTGCGGCAAGAAAATATGCTAAAACTTGCCCTTTTACCACTTTTGTGGAACATATGTAATATTAAACTGCAGGAGTATCACTGCCAACTAGCAAGGCGGCCTGTCAAAGTTAGTTTTGTCATCAAGAATTTCAACGGATCAACATTTGATATTAAAGTGACTTTATAAGAAAGCATATAATAGCGGAGTTTCTAGACAATAAAAATCAACACCATACAGTGTTTCTCAAATGGAGAATAATGTATTTCTGCTCCAATCAATATTAGACTAATATAATAGAGGGCATTCTCTGCGCCTTCTTTATTGTGATGAGCTAGGAAAGATCCAAGAGACTCTTCCAGTGCCGCAATATATAGAATAAGAGATTTCCCTGGAATTGACGCCGCAAGAATACGCGGGCTTAACAGGTATCTCTTGATACTGTCAAAAGTTTCTTGGCATTCTCTATCCCATATGAAGCGAGTATCCTTCTTCATCAATTTTGAAAACGGTTGGCACATAACTGACAGATTTGACATGAATTTCCGAATCAAAACCAGCTACCCTTGCAACAAGTGAAGCTGTCGAAGGTTCTTTGGCGGCGACATCTCCATAATCACCTTTATTTTGTTGGGGTCGATTTTAATTTCTTGATGATAAACGTCATACCCAAGAAACTTTCATGAGGAGACCCCAAAAGTACACTTGAGTGGGTTCCTCTGTTTAAAATTGCGCAATTAGAGGCGCGCCTTTGCGCAATTCCTTCAAAAAACGCCTCATAACCTACGCAATTCTATGTCCTTAAGAGGCGTACGCCTCACTGGGACTGAGGCGCGCCTCAGAGGCGCAATTGCGCAATTCCTGGTGAGGCGTACGCCTCTCTGGGATAGGGCCCACTCACTTAAAATGAGCCCTTTTCTCTCCTTTTACCCGATAGCCTTCAGCAAAGAGCAAACCCGACATTTCTCCCTCCCGCACGCTC